GGGGGACCCGCGCGCGCGTGCAGGCGCGAACCTCAGCCTGAAAACCGCCCCCTCCGCGGAGGGCCCCTAGCCCGCCCGGGTTGCGCAGAGCTGTGCGCTTCCGGAGGACCGGGCGCCCTGAGGTGAAGCCGGCCCTGAGTACCTTGGTCCCTAACCTCTCAGTGCTTGTGCCGGTGCGCACGCCGGCCCGCGTGCAAACACGAGTGTTGGGGTCCTGTGCGTGCACAGCGCGTCAGCTCGTCGTTTCACCCTAGATTCACCCTAGTGAAGTCACGTTTCTCGTTTAGAGGGAGGGTTGATAAATGAGAAAGAAGCGCGGGCCCCTCGATTCCCGCTGCGTGACTGCGGTCAGGCGCGCCCCACGGAGCGCGGGAGTGCGGGCTGTGTGTCTCGAACGTGACCTCAACAGCGTTTGCCTCTCTTTCTTCACAGATCCCTATAACTTTAGGAGTAATCCTAAATTCTTACTACGACGTGAAGTTCAATTTCCTTGGAATGGTGTTTGCTGCTCTCGGTGTATTAGTTACGTCCCTCTATCAAGTGGTTGGTAATTTTCTTTTTCTTCATGTGCCTTTCCAGCAGGTGTCATAAATTCTGAAGCTGTCAGCCAAGGGTTAGAAAATGCAGGGTGGAGACAGTGGGCTCTCGGGAAGAGAGCATAATGCGTAAATTGTCTGGCTCCGGGTGAAGAGAGAGGAAGCAGACTTGGCTGTGTGATGCCCAGCAAGTGCTCCGTGTTTGTGAGTGTGTGACACCCCGCTTACCACACTGAGTTTGGCGTGAGCTGACATTACTCTCTGGGAAACCTTTACGGAACGAGTAATAAGACTTTCTGCTTTGTAAGTTCATTGGTTACGTTCATCCTTCACTCTTTGATTTTGGAGTTGCTGTGAAGGAGTGAGTACACTTCCAGGGCTTTGAACAGGAGAGAAAACTATGAGATTTAGAGATTTTTTTGCTTTAAAAAATACCCTGTGGGTACAGTTACCTATTTTTGAGGGGCTCTTTTTGAAACAGGGTTTCGCTATACAGTTCAGGCCAGGCTTGAGCTCACCTTGTAGCCCAGGCTGGCCTCAAACTGGCAATGATCTTCCTGCCTCAGCCTCCCAAGTGCTGGGCTTACAGGCATGTGCCACCACGCCTGGCTCTGTATTGGTTTTTAATAGTTTATATCAACAGAGTATTTTATAACAGTGGTTTGGTGGGCATGGTGGTGCATGCCTGTAATTGCAGCCTTCAGGAGGATAAGTAAGAGGTCAAGGCCATCCTGGGCTACATAGTGATTCCCTGTCTCAAAAAACCAAACCAAATAAAAAAAAAGGTATTTCACTTTTTTAAGCACAACAGTGCCTTGTCCGTTATAGCTGGCATTCATCAAAAATTTGTTCACGGGTTCACTTACTGCATTACCATAAAATCCCAATAAATAACGTTTTCTATTTCTTACACAGTGAGGAATAAATAACTTGATGCACTTTACAGGGAAACAATATTTTCTCTGTACGAAAACTTTGGTCTGGAAATTCTGAGTATGCCTGCATGGGGAATCAAAGCCAAAATTTGTAGTCCATTTTACACTGCATTAGTTTGCTGTAGTGAGGCTAGCCGGGAGTTCAGTAACCCAGCCCTCACATCGTAAACTGTGGCAGGGATCATTTCTGCAGAATTGTCAAAAATATATATATACAGTTGTGAATACATTTTTTTTGTATTCACAGAGCAGCTTTTGAAGGGTGAGAGCAACAGACTGAGCCCTCCCTCAGTCTGCTTACTTAGCTCTGTGATAATTTTTTGCTGTAGAGAATGATCTGAGAAGCTCAGTTTTGTGCTTAAAAAATCAAAAGTATTTGGATGCACTTTAGTGAGTTTAAATTTTATTACGAGGTACATTAAGTGAACGTTCCCTTTTATCATTTCTTATTTTATTTTATTTTTTGGTCTTTTTGAGTTCAGGCTGGCCTTGAGCTCTCTTTATAACCCAGGCTGGTCTCGAACTCACAACAGTCCTCCTGCCTTAGCCTCAGCCTCCGCCTCCTGAGTGCTGGGATTACGGGCACGTGCCATCATGCCCGGCCTATTTATCATTTCTGTTAAATGCATTTTTATGCCTAAGATGGGTTAAATGTGTACTAAACGCAAGAATTTTCCTTTGTCGAATGTTAGTCCCTTGTACTCCTTGTACATAACGTGTATTCACAGTACTCCCTGTGTCAATAGGATTATTTTTGTTCGTGGAAGTCTTGACATTACTGTAGCTCAGAATCAAAGGGTTCTTCATCCCTGAGGTAGATTTTGAAATGAGGCTGACCAAGCAGTGATTGTGGACGCACTAATAAACTAACGAGCAGACTCTGTCACCAGTGAGCAGTGGAAGCGCTCTGACACCAGCTAGACTCCCCAGAACTGCCTGTTAGCGCTGCATCTGCCTGAGGGGAACCGGTGCACTTTCCAGGCCGATTCTCGTACTGCTGGAGACACTGGAAGGAATTGAAAGAGGCGTCATCAGCGGTCAGCTTTAGTCGGAAAGACAGCTGACGCGTTCATTCAGCAGACCTCGTTTCTGCCTGACGCTCAGCCTTGGGGTAGATTCGTGAAAAGCGGCTGTGGTCGGGCATTGTCGAAGCAGGGGTCGCCAGCTCGTGGGCTCCGGATGTGACGGCAGTGCTGAGGGACCGAGGGGTGGATGGCAGTTCTGGGTCGGGGCGTTGGGGTAAAGGTAACACTTAACGTGGAGGGGTGCCCAGGACTTCGCTCAGCGTGCAGTGCCGCAGGCCTTTCCTTGCTCTCCGGAAATGCAGAGCATTTGAGAACTGGGTGTGTGTGTTTAGTGCCAGCGAGGCTCTGAGCCCCATCCCAGGCGTGGCAGAAAACCTCACAGAGGGGCTGGGGATTTAGCTCAGCGGCAAAAGCGCCTGCCTGGCAAGCGCAAGGTTGTGAGTTCGGTTCTCGGTACTGGAGAAAAACCAAAAAAAAAACAAAACAAAAAAACAAAAAAAAGAAAACCTCACAGAAAGGAGGCCAGGGCCGTGGACACCGCAGGACTGAGATGACCAGTCGGGAGGGCCTGTGGGCGTGGGAGGTGGTGGTGCGCTTTAGGAGAGCATGGGGCGGTGGGCGACAGCCAGGTGCCCAGCAGGGCCCGCCATTCCAGGGAGTGCTGCGGCAGAGGGTGGCCACCGCTGCCCAGTGGGGCTGGGAGAGGGTGGTGGGGAAAGGCGACCTAGAGGTGGTACCGGGACGCCCAGGCCGGAGGAAGGGGATGTGTAGGGGCTACTCAAAGGCACCTCTGTGCTTGCCAGATCTCGCGCCTCCTTTTCAGTCCTGTTTGTGAAGCGGTTTGAGGACTGGTGGGATTTGAGGTTTTGAGGTGTCCTTCTGCTGAATGGTACAGTGTTTTAGGATTTGCGATTACCCAGTGTACTTAGGTCTGTTGGTACTGGTTGGGGAAGACCACCCACAGGAAAGCCATCCACAGAGAGGAAAATTTCTTCTACCACTGACTAGGTTTCCTGAAGTGATGAAAAAGACCACATATCTTTCAAGCCACGGACATTGGCAGCCACCTGGAAATGACCAAAGTCAGTCTGCTAGTCCCTAACCTCCCTTATCACCCAGGCTTTCTTTTTTCTTTTTTGACCAGTTTTAGAAAAGCTGTACTTACGGCCGGGGATATAGCTCAGCAGCACAAGCACCTGCCTGGCAGGCGCGAGGTCCTGAGTTCGATTCCCGGTACAAAAAAAAAAAAAAACTAAAGAAAGACTGTACTTACGGTTCTCATCACCTACACTTCCATTCCTGCCTTAGATCTCTGATGAATATGGGCCCCTACAAGCATTTACCTTTCCCCGTTTGGTAGGGTCAGGAAGGGAGGATTTTCCCCCACTTCTGCAGAGCTGAGAAGTGGGGAAATAGAAAATCGATCATCAGAAATCGAATGTGTAAGCCTCCCCTCACCAAGGTGTTTAAAGAGTGTTCACAGATGTGACTGGTCTTTTGAGACCGTACGGAATGACGAGGCATGTCCTCTTCGCTGAGCTGTACCCTAGATTTCCGTCTGTGTGGTTTGGGTTGCATCTTCGATTATGTGGTGCTTTTCTTTAGTGTGTGACTTGTTTTGTTTCCTAATTTTCAGTGGGTAGGTGCCAAGCAGCATGAGCTGCAAGTAAACTCAATGCAGTTGCTGTACTACCAGGCTCCAATGTCGTCTGCCATGCTGCTGGTCGTTGTGCCCTTCTTTGAGCCAGTCTTTGGAGAGGGAGGAATATTTGGTCCCTGGTCAGTTTCTGCTGTGGTAAGTTCAATTATTTTGGTGCTTAAGAAACAGTGTAATGATAACCCTGCCAACATTAATTCAAGTTTTACTTTTTAGAATATACTATCTCAGATCTGTTCTCCCATTTAATCTTCTTAATCACGCTTCATGGAAGACAAGGTGAGGATTCTTTTTCAGATGAAGAAACAGGCACAGAGAGAGAGATTTTGGCCTGCCTGAGAGGCCAAACCAAGACTGTCGTTCAGATCTTCTGATGGCTGGTTACTGTTCTGAGCATGTCAGTCTATAGCCCACAAATAATTATGATGTTTAATTTTAATTTTTTATAATGAAAATGCAGGTTTATTAGCTTTGTCTTAATAAAAGTAATGTATGTTTATTGTATAGATTTTGAACATACATAAAAATATGAAGAAAGTGGAAGCCCCTTGGAATCCCTAAGATGCTTTACGATTTTGATGATAGATCTCTTTTTTTATATACACATAAATGTGCATACATGTATATGTGTGTAATTTTTTTTTTTTTTGCTGGTACCGGGAATTAAACTCACAACCTTGCGCTTGCCAGGCAGGCTCTTGTGCCACTGAGCTACATCCCCAGCCCTTAGGTGGTATTTTAATACTTCTTCAATTTCATTACCTGATATTAGATTATTTGGGATTTTTATATCTTCTTGGTTCAGCTTTGGTAGTTTGTCTGTATCTAGGAATCCCCATTTTTTCTGAATCTTCCAGTTTTATTAGAGTACGGATTCTCAGAGTAGTTACCAGTGATCTCAATTTGAGCTGAGTCTATTGCATTTTTCATTTCTAATTGCATGGATTTGGGTCTTCCTCATTTTGGTAAGACTGGCAAAGGTTTGTCAGTTTGTTTATTTTTTCAAAGAACCGACTCATTGATTCTACTGTTTTTTCTTTTAATATCAATTTCATTAATCTCTGCTGTACTCTGATCTTTTTAATTCCCTTCTTTGTACTAGTTTTGGATTTGGATTGTCCTTGTTTTTTAGAACCTGGAGGCACATCATCAGGTTATTTACTGTTTTTCTGGTGGGGGAATTCACTCCTATAAACTGTCCTCTTAGTACTGCTTTTATTGTTTCACATAGGTTCTGGTATGTCATGCCAGCATTATTGTTTGATTATGGTAACTGTTCTTTAATTTCTGTAATCTGCTGATTATTCAAGACGGTATCATTTAATTGCCATGTACTTGTGTAGTTTCTGTTACCAATGATTTCTTGTTTCCTTGCACTATATGCATGAGATAATTTTGATTGTTTTGCATTTGTATAAGCATACTGTATGGGCTAGTATGTGGTCTCCTTTGGAGAGAAAGTCACATGTGCTGCTAAGAAGGATTTATATTTTGTTGTTGGAGGGAACACTATCTATTAAATCCATTTGTTTGAAGATTTGGTTCAACTCTGGTATTTCTTCGTTGATTTTTACCTAGCTGATCTGTTCTTCTGTGACTGTGAGTTATTCAGTCTCTCGTTACAATTGTATTGGTGTTTGTCTGATTTTTTTAATGTCCAGTAGTGTTTGTTTTATGATGTTAGGTAGGTATGCCAGTATTTAGTGCATATATGTTTATAATTGTTATCTCTTCCTATTGAATCTCCTTTAACCTTTGTTTTTTCTGATCAGTTTTGGCTTGAAATCCACTTTGTCTGAAATTAGGACAGTTACTTGTGCATATTTCTGGTTTACTGTTGCGTGGAATATTGTTTTCTGTCCTTTGATTTTCAATCTGTGAGTTTCTTTTTTAACTGAGTTTCTTGTATGTACTACATCATTTTTTAAAAAACATTCATTCTGCCGATCCGTGTGTCTTGGTTGGGCAGCGGAGACCGTTCATTCTGAGGGTTGTTACTGAGAGGTGCGGACTTGCCCCTGTCATCGCCTGACCTTCCTGCTGGTGACTTCCTCGTGTGTGTTCTCTCCTGCTTAGCTGCTCTTCCCTCCGGTGTGCTCGTTCTTTCTCACTGGCCTGCTGCCTTCAGCGTGCTTTCTAGGGTACCCTTGAGAACTTTCTGTGATGCTGGTGTGGTTGTCGTGCGTTTCTTGAGGTGCTCCTTCTCATGGGAATACCTCGTTTCTTCATCAGTTTTGAAGGAAAGCTTTGTAGGTACGTAAGTCAGGATTGTAAGTTTTTTCTTTTAGGGCTTGAAATGCTTCACTCCAAGCCCTCCTGACCTTTAAGGTTTGCGTTGAGCAGTCTGCTGTAATTCTAATGGCTTTGCCTTTGTGTGAGGTTTGCTGCTTTCTCTACCAGCTTTCAAGATTCTGAGCCAGGCGTGGTAGCACACCGCTGCAATCCTAGTACTGGGGAGGCTGAGGCAGGAGGATCACTGTGAGGTTGAGGCCAGCCTGGGCTACCTAGTGAGTTTGAGGCCAGCCTGAACTGCATGGCAAGACCCTGTCTCAAGAAACCAAAAAACAAACAAAACAAAAAAATGTAGAGGGGATATAGATAGTCCATAATACCTTACGAGGAATTTTGCTGGCCTCAGTTTTACCATCTAGAATACAGTTGATGGGCCTGTCTTTTTATTGGCAATATTAACTTACCAAATGTTTTTGTAGCCCTTATTCTGCTCCCGACACTGTTCAAAGTACTTTGCAGATACTAACATCTTCAGCCCTCATTAACTTGGTGGGTTAGTGTAGCACAGAGAGTTCAGCGTCCGGCCCCGGATCGCACAGTAATAAACAGAGGCAGCGTTTGAGTCCACGCGTCCTGGCTCTGAAGCCCACGTCCCTCTCGGCCCTGCACCGTGCTGCGAGGGGGCCCAGGGCCTCGCGCGTGTCAGGCGGTGCCGAACCCCTGAGCTGCACCCCAGCGTCACTCTGGGATGGGCCTTGCTGTCGCCCGGGCTGCTGTCAGGTTCCTGAGCTCGGTCGGCCCTCCCTCCTCGACTGGAGCCGCCAGGCCACGCGAAGGCCACGCGAAGGCCACGCCGGGTGCTGTGCTGTGCAGCCCCTGAGGCCGACGGGTTTCACGTTCATCCACGCTGGCATACGCTTTCTACTAAAGTAGCGCTCGTTGCGCCGTCTCTGCACCCTCTCTCAAAAATATCGTCTCTTACTTTGCAGAAGTCCTAGCCTGTGCTCAGACGCCTGAAATGAGAAGGGCAGAGGCTTTTTGTGGTAGCTCCCTGACGGGGTTAAACAGTAGGAAGTCACGCAGGGTGGCGCATGCCTGAAATCCCAGCACTCAGGAGGCTTAATCGGGGATCAGAAATTAGAAGCAAGCCTGGGCCGCATAGCGGGACTATCAGAGAGAAACGCAGATAAATACACAGACACAGAGACAGACAGAGGCAGAGATCGGGGAGGAAGAAGGAAAGGAGACAGAAAGGCCTTTAAAAAGCTAATAGACTATCCTGCATATACATATATGCAAACTTTCTCCTTCTTTCCCTTCTCTTTTCCCATATCCCAGTTATCCTTTACCTATGAGTGCTTTCCTATCAATTCCCAATGTCTGTCATATCTCC